CATGAGGACAGGAATAGAAAGGAAGCAATACAGCCAGCAAAAATACGTCGGCAAAGGAACATGTTTCACTTTATGCTGAAATACAACTCGCTTCTGGAGACAAGTTCATTTGGTCCGAGGCTTCAATCGATCAAGCAATGATTTGGATTATTTGGATTAATTAGGCGTTGGTCGCTTTAATGTGGGACTGACTACATGCTAGACACCTAACCTTAAAACACCTTGTAGGTGAGGTAGGGTGTGTGATCCTCAACCTGGTCCGGAACGCGGACGCATGTAGTCAAAACGGTGGAGACAGCCGTGCCCAACAACCATTGCCGGAGCCAAATTGTCCATTGTGGATGAGGACAGTGAGTAGGATCAGGTGGGAGAGGCAGGATAGATCAAGTGAAGAAACCAAGGTATACTGGGGACATTTCAGTCCAAGTAATATCGACACCATTTGAGCGAAAATGCTCAAATTGTGTTCCTAAGCCTTAATTGAAATAAAAATAGTGATTCTGATTTGACTCTGAAGCATCAAAACAGATTCATTGAGGACAAGAAAAGTGAAAATAGCAAAGCTAGAGACAACCTGACTGAAGTTTGGAGAAATTCAGCAGGCAAGATACCACAGTGAGTAGGATCAGGTGGGAGAAGCAGGATAGTTTGAGTGAAGAAACCAAGGTGTACGAAGGACATTTGGTTGTAAGGACTGTACTACACCAGGCATGTACCGTTTTCATCAGAGTGATTTTGGACTTATTGTGGATTACTGATTTACCCCATGGAATACCAGGCAATGTGATCAAATGTAGGAAAAAGTGGATTGTGTCATCTGCTAACGTATCTTTGGTCCCCGTACCAAGAGTGTTCAATGTGATGTAATGGCTGGATACACATTGGCTATGCCAACATAAACCAGGGGAGTACAAGTTTCGTGACTTGTGTAAGTCCAAATTAGTGAAAATTGTATGCTCCAAGTGTTCTGTGAACCTACGCCGGGAAGCCCATAACCGGAGGCTATATAATCTCTCGGCGATCAATGTAACCGTGATTCATCAACAATCCAGGAATCTCCGTTTACCACCGGCAGTAACATCAAAGCCGTCGAACACAAACGTCGAAGGAACCCGATTCGCAGACCAGACTCAACCACAACACTTACGTTCTGCGCGAGACTTTGGGACGGCTATCCATTCCGGGGGGAAAAACCTGGTCAAAAAACATATGTGTAAAGTCAGTGTTCCGATTTATGAAGCTCACAACTGACTCTGCTGATTCTAACCATCCTCTCAAGGTGGTTTTAGGATCGGAAGGCGAGGCAGCCTCAGTGTTGATACGGACACAAGCTGAAAGGCAAACGGATACGAATGCTCCGATAACCTGACCCTGCGCAGAGCGAACATCTATGTACAACATAAGCGCCGCACAAACGGGTTAGCAAATCTCGTCATTCGGGATTTTCGTGGGTAGAAGAGACGCCCTTAGCTCCGGAGGAGACCCCTAATCATCGCGTTTCTATTAACGACTGTATTGATCAAACTGTGAAAATCCTTCCTGTAAATCTCAGTCATTCCATCTCGGTTCCACATTTCGTGAATTTTACGTTCCATTCATCAAACATCATCCGCCTCACATACATATAGACATTTGACGTTCCACTCCCCTTGTATATTTACACATCAATCCTACCATTTGACTTTGTTTGTTTATCTGCTTCAATTTTTATCCTACTTGTTTTAATCGCGACTTGAGCGCTCACATTTGGCTCGTTCATGTGCAGCGTGACGGTGAGCGTGCTATTCTTACCCAGGCTCATTTTCTTCCATTCAGATTTGTTGAATTACGCTCACAGTAACACTTGGCTCTTGTTTTCAAGTTGTTTTGAGATCACTTTGAGGTTTTTACAGTTTTTATTTGCTTATGCGATCGTTTAATAATGCAGTACCGTAGAAATTCGCTGGATCGTTTGTTTTGTTGACGCTTTGGGATCCAATTTCGGCTACGCGTCGCTCGTTGATCTATTTGGGAGTTACAACGACTCCTGGGTGGTGCATTCAGGGTCAGCGAGGAATTCTTGTGTAGCCCGAAGAGGATCCAACATAATGCTGACAAATATCAGGGGCCTTTTGAGCAAGAGGGATCAGATTGAAACCTGGGTGCATAGTCATAGTCCAACAGTGGCGGCGCCCACTGAAACCTGGTTGAACACTATCATTATGGACTTGGAAGTCGCTCTTCCCGGGTATACTATGTATCGAGGCGACAGATGCCCTGGGGGGATTGGTGGAAGTGTAGCACTGTTCGTCCCATCTGGCGTCCCTGCGGTACAACTGGAAACATATGCGAAACCACACGGTTTCGGAGAAGCTGGCGTCTCGTCAAGCTAACATCTGACGGATATGTGAACATAAGGGTATTATATCGTACCCCAGCGGCAGCCATCCTCGCACTCCTAACAACCCTGCGTTGATGGGCAGGTGACAGCCGATGCCTTATTCTCGGGGACTTCAACGCTACCAACGTGGACTGGATCGCAAGCCTGACCAGACCCGGCGCGGGAATTGTTGTGTACCTTACACGAGCTTTCCTTGTATCAACGTGCAATCGCCGATGCGGCGGCAGGGTAGACGGGGATCGATTCTAAACCAGGTGATATCGACCAGGCGTTCCGAAGTAGATCAGATTGAGAACCGCTCTCTTTTAGGGTGCAGTGACCATATGGTATTGGCTATTCGTTGGCGGAATGCTACCCACGCAACCCTAGGATCACATAGAGGTCGAAATGTATGGTGTACTCAGTTTGACGCGACACGGGCGACCGCCATGGTTGTGCCGTGGATCCCACTGATCCCTCACAAGGTGAATGATGTAGAGGTGGTATGGGAAAGCATTCGGGACGGTATCTTTCACCTTGCTGACACGTTTTCTCCAGCAACTCGCAGCAGACAGTGAAAAATGGGGCCACCGTCGTTTAATCCTAAACTACAACGGTTAATCCGGCGCCAAAATCGCACTTGGCGAGCTTTTAGGGCTACCGAGACAGTTTATCTTTATCGAAGAATTTGGAACGAGTGCATGCAACTGAAACGGTCCAAGCGGAAGACATTCGAGGAGAAGCAGAAAGCTGACTTAGTGAAGGCTCCCAAACGCCTGTTTGCTTACCTGAAACGGCGCACGAGAGATAGAGATGGTATTCCATCGTTGATCGATGGAGTTGACACGGTTGACTTCGACGAAGGAAAAGCGGAAGCACTGACCACACAGTCCCGCTCAGTGGACACGAGAGATGCTGGTTCACCACCAACAGCAATCAGAACCGCAACGAAGAGTTTTCAGAAGTGAAGGTTGTACGTGAACCAATTTACACTTGAGTGACGCGTAGCCGAACCGATACGAATCCCGAATTAAAAACACAATTGATCCGTAATGTTCTACGGTACTGAACTAACGAAATCATTACAAAATGTACAATAAAGCAAACCTCAAATATGCAGCCAAAGGCGCTTAAACAAGCGAGCCAAATGAGATGTCCAGAGAGAGGCAAACAGTCGCTCCCGTTCTCAAACCACGCAAAATTTGAATGTGCCGGGCATCCAAATTAACAGATAAATAATGATGTGTGGTGTTCGTGATCGAGAAATGTCAATATAAGAGCAACACACAGATGAAATTATTTCACCATAAATCATCATGGGTTCAGAAGGATTTTCAAAAAATTCAGCATGAAATACACCGGCCGCCAAAATCCTTCCTGCGCTTGTCTGAGTCAAAGGGTTGGTTCAGGTCGTTGATTTTTGTCTACCTATCTACCTACCTAGTCCCTACTGTCAGTGCTTCTACCTACGAGCTGTTCGCCCTTCGCTGCACTCGTTGATCTTGTCTTCTGGCGACTTGCACATTGTGATTGTGTGTAAGTGAATGGATGGATGTTGTGGGAACATAAATCACACTTTCGACGTTAATGTAATAAATTGTGTATCAATCTGATAAAGGGACACTCAGTCACGAAATGAAATGGAGAAAACGTATGGCAAGGACGTGAGAACACGCGTTCATATACAGAAGGGGTGAATATCACTGGGAGCACAATTGATACAAGGGGAAGGTAAGTGAATATAGTACATGGCGGATCGCCACAACTCCATCAGGTCGTGGCATGGTGGTCATCTCCCTCCAACAAACACACTCGTCGAATATCGCGCACCTGTTCACTGGCAGATGTTTTCAATTTCACTGTTCTTACTAGTCCATCTGAGTCCGTGTGGCTTTCTATGACTACACCCAGTGGCCAATTGTCGCGTTGTAGCTTTTCGTTGGCCATAAGAATAAAGTCCCCAACCTTCAGTGACCGTCCTCTATGCTACCACTTCTGTCGAGCTTGAAGGGTTGGCAGGTACTCTCTTGTCCAACGCTTCCAAAACACCCGTGCCAGGTAGTTCGCATGCTTCCAACCCGACGTATAGCAGCCAATAATAGTTTTTGGCATATGTAGACCTTCATTGGACCTCAATAGCAGAAGGTCACTCGGAGTTAGTGCCAGTCCTTGCAGTTCATCGCTGGTGACGGGTATAGGCGGTCGGTTGTTGAGTGTCCTTTCCGCCTCTACCAGAAATGTGCTCAAAATTTCATCATCCGGCGCCTGTTGTTCACATAACGCCGTCGATATTTTTCGCACCGACCGTATAAGCCGTTCCCAAACTCCTCCGCGGTGACTGCTATAAGGTGGGTTGGAGTGCCATTGGGTTCCAGATGGCGACAATCGGTCTTGCAGGGCGCGTTTGTCTAACCGCATCAACCAGTCGCTCAACTCCTTTTGTGCACCGACGAAATTGGACCCGCTGTCGGAGAATACATTCGATGGATTACCTCGTCTACCCACGAATCTCTGCCAGGCCATGTGAAAGTAGTCGGTCGACATGCTATGCACGGTCTCTATATGCAAAGCTCGCGACTGCAGGCATGTCATCAGGCATCCGTACCGTACAACTAAGTCTTTTATTTCATCCATAGTGGCCCGAAGTAGTCCACCCCAGTTTCGGCAAAAGGCCACCAACCTGGCCGTACACGGGAACTGGGTAACGAGGCCATCAGTTGTTTGCTGAATGTAGCATTCTGCCGAGGACAAAAGAGACAATTGCCCACGATGCGCTTCACCGTAGCTCTCCCCTTCACTATTCAAAACCGACGGCGAATCGTACTGAGTAGGTGATTTCCCCCGACATGACCCTCCTGCGTGTGAATATGTATGATGAGTGTGTGCGTGATGTGGTGGGTGTTGGGCAAAATGATGGGATGTTTAGCGTCAAAGTCCAACTCAGAGTTTGTCAATCTACTGCCTACACTCATCAAACCATCTACTTATATTGGACACAGTTTTCGGAGAACACTGCAACGTAATGCACGTCGGTCGGAATCATGATTTCCC